GCGTGGAAGCTAGCCCCAGCGCTGGCTCTGGGCAACGTGTGCGTGCTAAAGCCCGCCGAGGAGACTCCGCTGTCGGCTCTGTGGGTGGCCTCTCTGCTGGTGCAGGCCGGCCTGCCGCCAGGGGCTCTTAGCGTGCTGCCCGGCATGGGCGAGGGGGCAGGAGCAGCGCTCGCACGCCACCCGGGGGTGGACAAGGTGGGTGGACTGGTGGGTGGGTGGACTAGTGGGTGGACTAGTGTGGGGTGGGGAGGGGGGTGGACTAGTGCGTGGGCTAGTGGGTGGGCTAGTGGGTGGGCTGGGGGGTAGGCTAGTGAGTGGGCTAGTGGGTGGGCTAGTGGGTGGACTAGTGGGTGGACTAGGGGTGGACTAGCGGGTGGGCTAGTGGGTGGACTAGGGGGTGGACTAGTGAGTGGGCTAGCGGGTGGACTAGTGAGTGGGCTAGCAGGTGGACTAGTGAGTGGACTAGTGAGTGGACTAGTGGGTGGACTAGTGGGTGGACTAGTGGGTGGACTAGTGGGTGGACTAGCGGGTGGACTAGTGAGTGGGCTAGCGGATGGACTAGTGAGTGGACTAGCGGGTGGACTAGTGGGTGGACTAGTGGGTGGACTAGTGGGTGGACTAGTGAGTGGGCTAGCGAGTGGACTAGGGGGTGGACTAGTGGGTGGACTAGTGGGTGGACTAGTGAGTGGACTAGTGAGTGGACTAGTGGGTGGACTAGTGAGTGGACTAGTGAGTGGACTAGTGGGTGGACTAGTGGGTGGGCTAGTGGGTGGACTAGTGGGTGGACTAGTGAGTGAGTGGACTAGTGAGTGGGCTAGTGGGTGGACTAGTGGGTGGGCTAGTGGGTGGACTAGTGAGTGGACTAGTGGGTGGGCTAGTGAGTGGGCTAGTGGGTGGACTAGTGGGTGGACTAGTGGGTGGGCTAGTGAGTGGACTAGTGGGTGGGCTAGTGAGTGGGCTAGTGAGTGGGCTAGTGAGTGGACTAGTGAGTGGACTAGTGGGTGGACTAGTGGGTGGACTAGTGGGTGGACTAGTGAGTGGACTAGTGGGTGGACTAGTGAGTGGACTAGTGGGTGGACTAGTGGGTGGACTAGTGGACTAGTGAGTGGACTAGCGGGTGGACTAGTGGGTGGACTAGTGGACTAGTGAGTGGACTAGCGGGTGGACTAGTCGGTAGACTAGCGAGTGGACTAGCGGGTGGACTAGCGGGTGGACTAGTGGGTGGACTAGCGAGTGGACTAGTGGGTGGACTAGCGGGTGGACTAGCGGGTGGACTAGTGGGTGGACTAGCGAGTGGACTAGTGGGTGGACTAGCGGGTGGACTAGTGGGTGGACTAGCGGGTGGACTAGCGAGTGGACTAGTGAGTGGACTAGTGGGTGGACTAGTGAGTGGACTAGTGAGTGGGTGGACTAGTGGGTGGACTAGATGGTGGACTAGCGGGTGGACTAGCGGGTGAACTAGTGGGTGGACTAGTGAGTGGGCTAGCGAGTGGGCTAGTGAGTGGACTAGCGAGTGGACTCGTGGGTGGACTAGTGGGTGGACTAGTGGGTGGACTAGTGAGTGGACTAGTGAGTGGACTAGTGCGTGGACTAGTGAGTGGGCTAGTGGGTGGACTAGCGGGTGGACTAGTGGGTGGACTAGTGGGTGGACTAGTGGGTGGACTAGTGAGTGGACTAGTGAGTGGACTAGCGGGTGGACTAGTGGGTGGACAAGTGAGTGGGCTAGTGAGTTGGCTAGCGAGTGGACTAGCGGGTGGACTAGTGAGTGGACTAGTGAGTGGACTAGTGGGTGGACTAGTGGGTGGACTAGTGGGTGGACTAGTGAGTGGACTAGTGGGTGGACTAGCGGGTGGACTAGTGGGTGGACTAGTGGACTAGTGAGTGGACTAGCGGGTGGACTAGTGGGTGGACTAGTGGACTAGTGAGTGGACTAGCGGGTGGACTAGCGGGTGGACTAGTGGGTGGACTAGCGAGTGACCCAGCGAGTGACCCAGCGAGTGACCCAGCGAGTGACCCAGCGAGTGACCCAGCGAGTGACCCAGCGAGTGACCCAGCGAGTGACCCAGCGAGTGACCCAGCGAGTGACCCACCACCCTGTCCAGGTGGCGTTCACCGGCTCCACGGAGGTGGGGCGCCTGATCCAGGCGGCGGCGGCCGGGGCAGCAGACGGCCCCATCAAGAGGCTCACCCTGGAGCTGGGCGGGAAGAGCCCAGTTGTGGTGATGGACGACGCCGACCTAGACACCGCCGTCGCTGAGTGCCACGAGGCGGTCTTCTTTAACCAGGGGCAGGTGGGTGCGGTGTGGTGTGGTGTGGTGGGTGGGGTGTGGTGGGGTGGGTGTGGTGTGGTAGTGGGTGGTGTGTGTGGGGTGGGTGGGTGTGGTGGGGTGGGTGTGGTGTGGTGGGTGTGGTGGGTGTGGTTTGGTGGGTGTGGTGGGTGGGTGTGGTGGGTGTGGTGGGGTGGGTGTGGTGGGGTGGGTGTAGTGGGGTGGGTGTGGTGGGTGTGGTGGGTGTGGTGTGGTGGGTGTGGTGGGTGTGGTGGTTGGGTGTGGTGGGTGTGGTGGGTGTGGTGGGTGTGGGGTGGGTGTGGTGGGTGTGGTGTGGTGGGTGTGGTGTGGTGGGTGTGGTGGGTGGGGTGGGTGTGGTGGTGTGGTGTGGTGGGTGTGGTGTGGGTGGGTGTGGTGGGTGGGGTGGGTGCGGGTGTGGTGTGGTGTGGTGGGGGGTGGTGTGGTGGGTGTGGTGTGGTGGGTGTGGTGTGGTGGGTGGGGTGGGTGTGGTGTGGTGTGGTGGGTGGGTGTGGTGTGGTGGGTGTGGTGGGTGTGGTGTGGTGGGTGTGGTGTGGTGGGTGGGTGTGGTGGGGTGGGTGTGGTGTGGTGGGTGGTGGTGTGGTGAGTGTGTGGGTGGGTGTGGTGTGGTGGGGTGGGGTGGGTGTGGGGGTGTGGTGTGGTGGGGTGGGTGTGGTGGTGGTGGTGGGTGTGGTGGTGGGGTGGGTGGGTGTGGTGGGTGTGGTGTGGTGGGGGTGGGTGTGGTGGTGGGGTGGGTGGGTGGGTGTGTGGGGTGGGTGTGGTGGGGTGGGGGTGGGTGTGGTGGGTGGGGTGGGTGGGTGGGTGGGGGTGGGTGGGGTGGGGTGGTGGGTGGGGTGGGTGGGTGGGGTGGGTGGGTGGGTGGGGTGGGTGGGTGGGTGGGGTGGGTGGGTGGGTGGGGTGGGTGTGGGTGTGGTGGGTGGGGTGGGTGGGTGTGGTGGGTGGGGTGGGTGGGTGGGGTGGGTGGGTGGGTGGGGTGGGTGTGGGTGTGGGTGGGTGGGGTGGGTGTGGTGGGGTGGGGTGGGTGTGGTGGGTGGGGTGGGTGGGTGTGGTGGGTGGGGTGTGGTGGTGGGTGGGTGTGGTGGGTGTGGTGGGTGGGGTGTGGTGGGTGGGTGTGGTGGGTGTGGTGGGTGGGGTGTGGTGGGTGTGGTGGGGTGGGTGTGGTGGGGTGGGGTGGGTGTGGTGGGTGGGGTGGGTGGGTGTGGTGGGTGTGGTGTGGTGGGTGGGGTGGGTGTGGTGGGTGGGTGTGGTGGGGTGGGTGTGGTGGGTGTGGTGGGTGTGGTGGGTGGGGTGGGTGGGTGTGGTGGGTGTGGTGTGGTGGGGTGGGTGTGGTGGGTGGGGTGGGTGTGGTGGGTGTGGTGGGGTGGGTGTGGTGGGTGGGTGTGGTGGGGTGGGTGGTGGGTGGAGTGGTGGGTAGGGTGGGTGGGTGAGTGGGTCGTGTGGGTGGGGTGGGTGGGTGGGGTGGGGTGGGTGTGGGTGTGGTGGGTGGGGTGGGTGGGTGTGGTGGGTGGGGTGGGTGGGTGGGGTGGGTGGGTGGGTGGGGTGGGTGTGGGTGTGGTGGGTGGGGTGGGTGTGGTGGGGTGGGGTGGGTGTGGTGGGTGGGTGGGTGGGTGGGGTGGGTGGGTGGGTGGGGTGGGTGTGGGTGTGGTGGGTGGGGTGGGTGTGGTGGGGTGGGGTGGGTGTGGTGGGTGGGGTGGGTGGGTGTGGTGGGTGGGGTGTGGTGGTGGGTGGGTGTGGTGGGTGTGGTGGGTGGGTGTGGTGGTGGGTGTGGTGGGGTGTGGTGGGTGGGGTGTGGTGGGTGTGGTGGGGTGGGTGTGGTGGGGTGGGGTGGGTGTGGTGGGTGGGGTGGGTGGGTGTGGTGGGTGTGGTGGGTGGGGTGGGTGGGTGTGGTGGGTGGGGTGTGGTGGTGGGTGGGTGTGGTGGGTGGGGGGGGTGGGTGTGGTGGGTGTGGTGGGTGGGGTGGGTGGGTGTGGTGGGTGGGGTGTGGTGGTGGGTGGGTGTGGTGGGTGTTGTGTTTGGGTGTGGTGGGTGTGGTGGGTGGGGTGGGTGGGTGTGGTGGGTGGGGTGGGTGGGTGTGGGTGGGTGGGGTGTGGTGGTGGGTGGGTGTGGTGGGTGTTGTGTTTGGGTGTGGTGGGTGTGGTGGGTGGGGTGGGTGGGTGTGGTGGGTGGGGTGTGGTGGTGGGTGGGTGTGGTTGGTGTTGGGGGTGGGTGGGGTGGTTGTGTCCCCCGTGCCCGAATGTCCCCCCCACCCCCTCACCCCCCTCTCTCACCCCCACCCCCCCCACCCCCCCCCACCCCACCCCCCCCCCCCCCCCCCCCAGGTGTGCAGTGCCGGTTCCCGCACCTACGTCCACGAGAAGGTCTATGATGAGTTTGTGGAGCGGTCCGTCGCCATGGCGAACGCTCGCAGATTGGGGGATCCCTTCCACCCGGACACACAGCAGGGTCCACAGGTAGGGGGGGGGCAGGTGGGGGGCACGGTCACCGTGAACCACACCCACACACACGGTCACCCACCCACCCACACGGTCACCCACGCACCCACACACACGGTCACCCACCCACCCACACGGTCACCCACCCACCCACACGGTCACCCACCCACCCACCCACACAGTCACCCACCCACACGGACACCCACCCACCCACACGGCCGTCGTGAACCCCACCCACCCACACGACCACCGTGAACCCCACCCGCCCCACCAACCCGCCCCACCAACCCGCCCCACCAACCCCGCCATCTTCCCCCCCCCCACGCCGCCTCCGCCGCAGGTGAACGAGGCCCAGTTCTCCCGCGTCTCGTCCTTCGTGCGCTCGGCCCTAGCGGAGGGCGCCGCGCTGGCCTGCGGCGGCCCGGAGGGCCACCCGGCGGGGGCCGCTCTACGCCCGCCCCACCGTCCTGACGGGCCTCCCCGACGGGGCCCGGGCCTGCCGCGACGAGGCCTTCGGCCCCGTGCAGAGCCTCTTCCGCTTCGGGCGCCTGGACGAGGCGCTGGCACGGGCCGACGCGTCCCCCCACGGCCTCGCCGCCGGCGTCTTCACCGCGGGCCTGGGCGCGGCGCTGAGGGCAGCCGGCGCTCTGCGCGCCGGCACCGTCTGGGTGAACTGCTACAACGCCGACGCGCCGCAGACGCCGTTCGGCGGTTTCCGCGCCTCGGGCGTCGGCAGGGAGCTCGGCGAGCTGGGGCTGGCGGCCTACGCCGAGGCGAAGACCGTCACCGTGAGGTTGCCGGTGGCGGCGGCGCTGCCGGTGGTGGTGCCGCCGGTGGTGCCGGTGCCGGTGGTGCCGGTGCCGGCGGCGGCGAAGGGCGGCTCGTTCGAGTGAGGGGGCGCGGTGGAGGTGGGGTGGCGGTGGTTTGGGTGGGACGGGTGGATTTATTGTTGGGTGGGTTCATGGTGGTGTGGGGTGGGTGGGTGGGTTCATAGTGGGTGGGGTGGGTTGGTGGGTCCATAGTAGGTGGGTTCATGGTGGGTGGGGTGGGTTGGTGGGTTCATAGTGGGTGGGGTGGGTTGGTGGGTTCATAGTGGGTGGGGTGGGTGGGTGGGTCCATAGTGGGTGGGTTCATGGTGGGTGGGGTGGGTGGGTCCATTGTGGGTGGGTTCATGGTGGGTGGGTTCATAGTGGGTGGGGTGGGTGGGTTCATAGTGGGTGGGGTGGGTGGGTTCATAGTGGATGGGGTGGGTGGATTTATAGTGGGTGGGGTGGGTGGATTTATAGTTGGGTGGGTTCATACGTGGGGTGGGTTCATAGTGGGTGGGGTGGGTGGGTCCATTGTGGGTGGGGTGGGTGGGTGGGTCCATAGTGGGTGGGGTGGGTGGGTTCATAGTGGGTGGGGTGGGTGGGTTCATAGTGGGTGGGTGGAGTGGGTGGGTTTATAGTGGGTGGGGCGGGTGGGTCCATAGTGGGTGGGTTCATAGTGGGTGGAATGTTGTATATACAGGCCTTTTTCCATTTTGATTTTTTGATATTAATAATGATTTTGCCAATGTAATTTTTTACATGTATAATCACTCGCGGGGTCGCTGGGAGCAGCTGTCTTGTCACTCTCGCAAAGATAACGACACCCTCCCCTCCCGCCAACGGAAAGGGTCAGTCATAAAGTCAAATAAAAAAACACACACGCCCCCCCACCCGGAGGAAGGATAACAAACAGGCGCTTCGTTTTGGTTAACTTTTTCACGCTTCCGCGAACAAATGGTAAAAATTCCCAACATTATCGACCCTCGCAACTCACTCCAATTAAAAACCAGGCCACAATCTACATCGGCGGATCATTACTCATGTATTCATTCAATGCTAATGTTATTTTCACCTTGAATAATTCTCTACATGACCTGACCCAAAGCATCAATAATTAGTCTGGCAGTCAGGGTTGTTCCTAAGCCCAAAACGAATTCTCTAACCTCGGCATATCAGATACTAACAGTGACTCGAGAACACAGCAGCACAAACCCAGGATACAGGCGGTGGAATGAAACTTAATAAACCCTAAGAAATACGTGGTGATGACAATGTTAAATCGCAAATCTTGGGAAACACAAATCAAATAGTAATAATAATAATTATGCAGTATTAAACCGAGGGTTATCCAGAAGAGACGGGGCGAAATAGGCCAAACCTACACAACGAAGAGAAACTGCATCCCATGGGAAAAGAGCCTCCCAACCGTCTTTGTCTTCCCGCAGCACGGGATAGCAAAGAACGTAACGCCCAGAGCGAGGGACATTACTCTCACAGAGAGATTCTATTGCAGGTGGGGCATCTGCGTTCCACGGATGAGGAGGGGCGACAGTAGTCAAGCCAGGGAAAGACACAGATGGCTTAATAAATGACACACACAACAACAACAACAACCGCCATTCGCCACTAAGTGGCGGTGACGTCACCACGACGCTTGTGCCAGGCTATGTGCACCCTGAGGCCACGTGAAGTGTCGAACGCCCGCTGGCAGGAGGTCACGGGGCAGACCCAGGTGCCACGGGTCGACTGACTGAGATGACTGGCTGATGCACCACCTGTGCCCCCTACTGTGCCAACCTGCTGTGCTTTAGCCACCCGGCGCTCCGCTCGTTGTTGTGAGCGTCGCTCCTCCGCCCTCCGTTGCCGTTGGAGGGCGACTGCCTCCAACTGCCCAGTAGCAGCGTCCTTCACGAGCCTCCTCCACACACACACGGACACACGGACACACGGACACATGTACAACCCCCCCCCACAACACAACACAGAGCGAGATCAAAGGAATTTGCGGTCCTTTGTGAGAAGGCGAGCCGAGGAGAAGACATTTTGGCGTAAAAAGAGCGGCACGGGCCGCACATCGCACCGCAGGGCGGACGTCAGCTACCGAAGATGGCAGCCGGCCGGTCTACCGACGCGGGAGATCACCACCGACGCGGAAAGGAGAAGCCTGCCAGCAGACGAGGACTCCGAAAACTCCGAAAACTCATCCACGATGGCGAAGGCTCCGCCGAGCAGCGACACGCCGCGCCGTGCGAATTCGCCGCCGCCGGATCGAAGCATCGCCCGGAATGGTCGCTCCGCTCCGCTCAGCTCCAGGCGGAACGACCCGCAAGCGTGACGGGAACCCCGGCGGCCGTCCGCGAGACCGGGGGGGGGGCGGAGGGCGGAGGGCGGAGGGCGGAGGGCGCCGGGCGTCGACCGAGCCCGCCGCCGGCGGAACGAAAGCACCCTTTGGTCCTGGTCCGGCAAAAAAGTCGCGCGACTTTTCGCCGGACCAGGACCAAAGGGCGTGGGTCCTTGCAGCCACGAAGGCTTCGAATCTCGACACGAAAGGCATCGTCCGCCGCCAGGGAGCCGGAGCGGCTCACCGTCCACCACCCACACGCGAAAACCCACGACGCTCCCGGCGTCTGCTCACGCGGTTGGGAGACCGTTTATACTGGTAGGAAGGAGGTTGTGAACTGAGCGTACCAGCCTGCAATAGATTCATGTGTCCGTCCGTCCGTCCATCCGTCCGTCCCCTTTCAATACTTTAACGAAGTGAAATCTCGTGTGACTGTCATCCTTTATTTAACCACGTGAGTGACGTCATTGAGAGTCACTCTCTTGTGACTGTCATCCTTTATTTAACCACGTGAGTGACGTCATTGAGAGTCACTCTCTTGTCACTGTCATCCTTTATGTAACCATGTGAGTGATGTCATTGAGAGTCACTCTCTTGTCACTGACATCCTTTATTTAACCACGTGAGTGACGTCATTGAGAGTTACTCTCTTGTCACTGACATCCTTTATTTAACCACGTGAGTGACGTCATTGAGAGTCGCTCTCTTGTCACTGACATCCTTTATGTAACCACGTGTGTGACGTCATTGAGAGTCACTCTCTTGTCACTGACATCCTTTATTTAACCACGTGAGTGACGTCATTGAGAGTCACCGTCTTGTCGCTGACATCCTTTATTTAACCACGTGAGTGACGTCATTGAGAGTCACTCTATTGTCGCTAACATCCTTTATTTAACCACGTGAGTGACGTCATTGAGAATCGCTCTCTTGTCACTGACATCCTTTATTTAACCACGTGAGTGACGTCATTGAGAGTCGCTCTCTTGTCACTGACATCCTTTATACTGGTAGGAAGGAAGTTGTGAACTGAGCGTACCAGCCTGCAATAGATTAATGTGTCCGTCCGTCCACTTTCAATGCTTTAACGAAGTGAAATCTCGTGTGACTGTCATCCTTGATTTAACCACGTGAGTGACGTCATTGAGAGTCACTCTCTTGTCACTGCCATCCTTTATACTGGTAGGAAGGAGGTTGTGAACTGAGCGTACCAGCCTGCAATAGATTAATGTGTCCGTCCGTCCGTCCCCTTTCAATACTTTAACGAAGTGAAATCTCGTGTGACTGTCATCCTTTTTATTTAACCACGTGGGTGACGTCATTGAGAGTCACTCTCTTGTCGCTGGCACCCTTTATTTAACCACGTGAGTGACGTCATTGAGAGTCACTCTTGTTGCTGGCATCCTTGATTTAACCACGTGAGTGACGTCATTGAGAGTCACTCTCTTGTCACTGCCATCCTTTATTTAACCATGTGAGTGATGTCATTGAGAGTCGCTCTCTTGTCACTGACATCCTTTATTTGACCACGTGAGTGACGTCATTGAGAGTCACTCTTGTCACCGACATCCTTTAGTTCACCACGTGAGTGACGTCATTGAGAGTCGCTCTCTTGTCACTGACATCCTTTATGTAACCACGTGTGTGACGTCATTGAGAGTCGCTCTCGTGTGACTGTCATCCTTTATTTAACCACGTGAGTGACGTCATTGAGAGGCACTCTCTTGTCACTGACATCCTTTATTTAACCACGTGAGTGACGTCATTGAGAGTCACTCTTGTCGCTGACATCCTTTATTTAACCACGTGAGTGACGTCATTGAGAGTCACTCTCTTGTCGCTGGCATCCTTTATTTAACCACGTGAGTGACGTCATTGAGAGTCACTCTCTTGTCACTGTCATCCTTTATTTAACCACGTGAGTGACGTCATTGAGAGTCACTCTCTTGTCACTGCCGTCCTTTATTTAACCACGTGAGTGACGTCATTGAGAGTCACTCTCTTGTCACTGACATCCTTTATACTGGTAGCAACGAAGTTGTAAACTGAGTGTACCAGCCTGCAATAGATTAATGTGTCCGTCCGTCCGTCCACTTTCAATGCTTTAACGAAGTGAAATATCGTGTGACTGTCATCCTTTATTTAACCACGTGAGTGACGTCACTGAGAGTCGCTCTCTTGTCACTGACATCCTTTATTTAACTACGTGAGTGACGTTACTGAAAGTCGCTCTCTTGTCACTGACATCCTTTATTTAACCACGTGAGTGACGTCACTGAGAGTCGCTCTCTTGTCACTGACATCCTTTATGTAACCACGTGAGTGACGTCATTGAGAGTCACTCTCTTGTCACTGTCATCCTTTATTTAACCACGTGAGTGACGTCATTGAGAGTCGCTCTCTTGTCACTGGCACCCTTTATTTAACCACGTGGGTGACGTCATTGAGAGTCACTCTCTTGTCACTGACATCCTTTATACTGGTAGGAAGGAAGTTGTGAACTGAGTGTACCAGCCTGCAATAGATTAATGTGTCCGTCCGTCCGTCCCCTTTCAATACTTTAACGAAGTGAAATCTCGTGTGACTGTCATCCTTTATTTAACCACGTGAGTGACGTCACTGAAAGTCACTCTCTTGTCACTGACATCCTTTATTTAACCACGTGAGTGACGTCACTGAGAGTCGCTCTCTTGTCACTGACATCCTTTATGTAACCACGTGAGTGACGTCATTGAGAGTCACTCTCTTGTCACGGGCA